GTAAAATCAAAATTGCGATTTTTAATATAGCTTATTTAACATGTGTGTGCGTCTCGATCGGGAGTCCAGCGCGTTACCATTGTACTGTTAGCCACTCGCTAACAAATTATGTCCTGCCCATTTAGCCTACATATAGGCCTAATATAGTGCATTCATAGATATAAAACAATCTAAAATATTTAATATCTATACTTTCAGGTAAATTTCATGACGCTACAAAGATTTATCAAGAAAAAGCAAAAACGGAATGCAGAAACAAATGGGAAAAAAACTGATCTAAAAGCTGGATACTTAACACCCCGGCAAGTGTTCACAGAAACTCAAGAAAAGTTATTGGCAGATTACATAATCAAGGCATCCAAAATTTTTTTATGGACTTTCTCCAAAAGATATCAGACAATTAGCCTACCAGTTTGCAAACGAAAATAAAATAACAGCTCCCTTGAATTGGGCAGCAACAGGAATGGCTGGCCCGGATTGGTTTACCAAATTTATGAAACGTAATGGATCATTATCAATAAGAACGCCAGAAGCAACGAGTCTTAGCAGGGCGACAAGTTTTAACAAAAGAAATGTAGATATGTTTTTTGACAATTTGTCACGTTTGCAGGAGAAGTTTAATTTCATTCCATCAGATATCTAAAATTTAGATGAGACGTGGGTAACCACCGTTCAGAAACCGGTCCATATAGTAGCCAAAAAAGGTGTAAAGCAAGTGGGGGCGATAACCTCAGGTGAAAGAGGTACACTTGTGACAATTCTTACTGGAGTCAATGCATTAGGAAACAGTGTTCCTTGTATGTTTATTTTCCCACGCGTCCATTTCAAAGATCACTTCCTAAACGGGGAACCAGCTGGATGTATCGATGCAGCATATCCTTCAGGTTGGATGACCGAATATAATTTTCTAAAATTCATGAAACTATTTTGTGAAGACAGTCAAATGTTCTAAGGATCGTCCTATTGTTCTTCTCCTTGATAACCATGAATCACATATCAGCTTAGATTGTATCAATTTTTGTGTGGAAAATGGTATAAATCTTCTCTCGTTCCCGCCTCACTGTTCGCACTGATTACAGCCCCTGGATAGAAGTATATACGGGCCTTTCAAGAAGTATTATAACGCAGCAGCTGACGGTTGGCTAAAGAACAATCCTGGAAAAACAATGTGCATTTATGACATACCAACCTTAGTAAATCAAAGCCTTACACGAGCGCTTACTCTAGAAAATATCAAGAAAGGTTTTTATGCCGGAAACTTGTCAAAAGGATAAAAAAATGTGACAACAGATGATGATTTTCTACCCAGCGACGTAACAGATCGCCCCTTGCCAAATGAAGTATCAACAGAAAACTTGGAGACATCATCTACTAGTGAAGACGTACTAATGAATAGTCCTCCTACCAACAGGAAAACATCAGACCCGCTGAGGACTCCAGAGATGATAATACCTTTCAGGAAGCATCCCCACGAAAGATCAAAATAACCAGGAAAAACGATATTCGGCTATTTTGACCTCTACACCCGAAAAGACAACAACTCCAGCTTGAAAAAGATGACAGAGATAAAAAGAAAACGAAAGAGAGTGTCACGGAAAAGGCGCTAGCGCTGGTAATAAAGGCAAGAAAAAAGCGAAAAATCGGATGGAAGAAACTGAGTGTCTTCTATGTGGAGACCTGTTTAGTAATTCTGTATCCAGAGAAGAATGGGTGCAGTGTACAGTCTGTTATAAGTGGGCTCATTATGAATGTACAGCAGGTGAAATTCGTGGTCCATATATTTGTGAACATTGTGATTGTGACACAGACTAGAAATATAACCATTTTTGTTTAAGTTTTTCGATCATGGAACAATGATTCTTATATGTTTAAATAACGTTTCAAGATTTATTTTATCGTGTAATCAATAATAAATTCATCAGAATATAATTATGTTTGAATTGTCGTTTTAAAAGTTTTTTTATGGTGTAATCATTAATAAATTTATTAAGCCTACAATTATTATATCGTATTAAAATTTAGAAAATCTGGAATAATTACTGAAATTAGGCTTATACTCTAACATGCTAAACGTTATGAGAAAA